AAATATTATTATCTTTATAAAAGAATAAAGACGAAAAGAAGTATCAAGTAATATAATATTACAGAAAATAGAAACCTACGTCATATTTAAGAATTATATAGAAAATAGTTACTTTATATTATTGCGACATCGTATAAAAATGTATAGAAAAATAGAAAAAAAAATATTATAAAATATTTATTATTATCTTTTAATAATAAAATTAATAATAAATTATATAAAAATTCAGAAAGTAATAAAAATTATGAAATGAAATTTTCTATAATATATATTGAATTACAATGAAAATGATTAAATTCAAAGTAATCTGAAAATGATAAACCTAAAACAAAATATGTTAAAATACTAGTTGTTGAATTTCGAAAGTTTACATTATTATTAAAAAATTTAGTATTGAACTTCAAAGATTTTTGATAACAAAATAATATATATCAAATTTAACCATTAAATTTCGATTTCGAAGGGTTGTGACACAAATGATAACCTTTGAAATTTAATGTTGTAATATAATTTCGAAAGTTTTCGAATTAATATAATTACTGATGAGATACAATTCTGAAAACACTAAAAAGCAATTCAACATAAAAATGATATTAGCATTAAAGAAACAACAAAAAAGTATTTTTGATCTATCTAAAACTGTGAAGTATCTTGAATATGATATTTGTGAAGTTTGTGATGAAGTTGTGAGAAGTAGTAATATGAGATCTGGTATATTTAAATTACCTCAAAATTATACTGGTACCATTTTTGAACTGTGAGAAAAAATTGATGTATTATTTAATAAGAAAAAATATATTGAAAAATGATTTATGACAAGGTTGTACTTCAAGGTTGCTAAGGAAATTTGTAAGCTCATAATTAAGCAAAGAAAAGTATAGTAATCAGTGATGCTACTGTTAAAAATTTTCATAAAAAAATAACTAAAAATTTAAAAGAAGATATACTAGATTTATTAAAATTATAAATATCAAAATAAAAGGGTAAGATAAATAGTGAGCCAGAAAGTGAGGAGGAAAAAGAAGAAACAAATTACAATAGCTAGTGTGAGATGAAGAAAGGAATTACCATTTTTTATAATGTAAAAAATCTAGGATCCCTGGTAGGCATTAATTAAAATATTTTATTTTTTCTTCTTTATCCTTACTCCACAAATAATCCTAAAGAATAGATATATAATAAGAGAAAAGTTTTAGATCTTAGATTATATAATTATATTTTAGAATTGTTACATCATCAGGTTATAGAGTAGTTAGTAGTAAACAATGATTTGAAATGTTAAAATGATTACAAAATTCTAATTATTATCTTAATAACAATTGTCGAGATTTCATTAGAATCTAATAGATTTTTATTTATTTTTAATAATGCAATAATATATTGATCTAATTTTTCATCAATATATATATAATAAAATTTATATCTTTTTTCTAATTTGATAATCAATTTACCACATAACTAAATTATGCAAATTTTAAATTCCTTCTATAGCAAAGGTATCATTTTTGATACATTTGTAATTATTTTTTTGATATATTCTATTTTGTATTAATAAATATATAATTAATTTTAAGGTGATATCAAAAAAATAACTATAAATGTATTAAAAATGATATCTTTTGTCCTTTTATAATATGTATTACATGATACTATTCTGATTTATATAAAGAAATGTATATATAAAAAAATTTTTTAACGTGTTATTACAAATTACCATTTATCAATCATGTCTAAGTACTTTAAACAATATGATTCTGACAAGTGAAATATTAAAGGATATTTAATCAAATCTATTGTTGAACTGTACAAACTGAAGATAGATCAATACCTGAAATATCTTAATATAATTATGAACAGTGAAAAAAGAAAAGAAAAAAGAAGGCATAGTTACTTCTCAATAGATTTAGAAAAGAAAACAAATCTTATTATAATTGTATAGTAAAAAATAGTGATGTGTCAGGGTGGTATTCACTTAGTTTCCTTATTATTTGAAGTCATTCGTCAAGTTACAAACCAGTATTTGAACACAAACAACATACTCAGTTTTTTGATATCAGATAGCCATTTGTCAAGCTACGCACTGGATCCATTTGAACACAGCCAACCTACTTGATTGTCTATTCTGGTGGGATAAATATTTTAGTTAAAAATATTACTAATTTTACTAATTTTCTATTTTAGAGTTCTCAAGTTGATCATAAAAAAGCAAAAGAGTAATAAAAAAATCACCTGTATAAGGAATAAATATCCATTAATCAATTAATGGAATTAATGGAAATGTAATAGCTGGAAATGTAAATACTAAAATTTCTTCACAAAACCATTTTCAAAGAAAAGAAATCAGGAAGGAGAACAAATATACATTTTGATATATCTATTATTTTGTATTTGTTTCTAATGAATTACAATTATAATCCTTAAAACAATAACAAAGTTTCAAAAAAAAGCAAAATTAATAATTGTTTTTCTATACGCAATATCACCTCTCAAACAAATGTTAGTACCGTAGATTTGAATTCAGATAATTCAAATATTTCTTTTATTATATATGGAAAACCTAATGAGGGTGATAAAAATAATAAGCATGTAAGTTATTTTTCTATTGTCCAACATATACATGTTTCCAAAAATTAATGTTGAATTTTTGAAATATTTTGACTTTTTGAGATTTATACAAAATCTATTTTATATATAAAAGTAAAAAAAGTACCTAGTTATGTGTATATTCAATCAAAGAATAAATCTAGGTGATCAAAAAATTTCAGATTTTAGGTAAAAAAGTTTTGACCATTATCTATTAAAATATTGTCTCGGATCCACATGTAATGTTTAATTTGGTCCAAGTGATTTTTTATATAGTTTAAATCTTTAAGGGTATAGGTAATTTCATAGTAAGAATCTTTTTCTTGTTTTTCTAATTCATGATCGACTATTTCAGATACAGCTTGATTTTTTAATTCAATTGTCTTTTCAATACAAGTGTTTTGTACTTTTGTTGAAACCATAAATCAAAACTAAAAGAAATATTATAACTAACTATAAACTAATGTATAATATTTAAAGAATAGATTGTATAGACTAAAGATTTAAATAAAATATATGGAGATAATATAGGAGATATAAAAGGAGTATATTAATTTATTAATTAAAACTAAAACTAAATTATAACTTTTAATCAAATCTCACAGTTACTACCAAATTGTTGACCGTTATCTGACCCTTCAAGGGATACGATTAACTATTAGCTTCAGACACTATAACTAAACTAAAATATAATAAACTACTAACTAATTTATACTAAAAAGTATGATATTTGAAGGATTTAGATGTTGCGAATTTGTTTAAAAAAGGTAAGGCTATAAGATTTTTATAAGGGTTTGATTAAACTATTCACAAAGACTATAACTAAGCTAAACTAACTAATAATCTTTAACACTAAGTAGAAATTATAACACAAAAACAATATATTAAGATCACAAAGTAAGATATAATTCAACAAGGGTTTCAATATTTTATCTAAGAATAATACAGAATTTTACTAAGAAATTACAACAGTATAAATAATAATCCACAAGAGTATTATTTATAAGGCAAATTACAAAGTATTTTTATTAACAAGAACTAAAAGTTGACTAGAACTGAGAACTGAGTAAAGAGAAATTCAACCTTTTATATACATAATTGAAGTTATAATAGATTATACTGTAGACTACACTAATATATACACTATTAATTATACTGATGTATACACTATTAACTACACTTTCTATTACGTTATCTATTACACTATCAATTATACTATTGAATATACTATTAATTATACTATACTTGTACGCAAAATTATTTTGGGATCTTGAAATTGTAATTTCGGAGAAAAAAGTCAAGATAGTTTTTTATAGAAGACAAAATTATTTTACTTAAAATTCAAAATTCTTTGATCATTCAGATTTATTCTTTGATTAAAGATACATATAACTGGATATTTTTTTTACTTCCATATATAGAATAGATTTTGTATAAATCTTAAAAAGTCGAAATACTTCAAAAATTCAAAATTAATTTTAAGAACATGTATAGATTACACTATTCATTATACTGTTGATTACACTCAGATCTACAGTCATAATTCCTAATAGTTGTATCAATTTCTAAATGATTTATGCTAATAGTTTCTTATATAATATATATAATAAAAATATGAAATTAAACTAATAAAGTATAGTTATAAATAAATTAATACATGATAATAAAATAATAATATAATAAATGAATAAACTAAAAATATAATAATAATAAGATTTAACAACTAGGGTCAACACCATAACCTTTCAAAATAAAAGAAAATCTAAAAAAGATAACAGTAATGATAATGACGATTATGGTAATAATAATAATGATGATGATGAAAATGATGATAATCTATAAATAATATAAAATAATTAATAAAAAAAAATAATTGATAATGTAAATAAAAATGAATATAATATAAATAAAACATAAATTTGCAAAACTAAATGAACAAAATAAATTATTAGTATATTTTTTATCCAATGATTTTTTTAGAACTAAATAGATCTTTATCTATCTAAAAATTTGTTAAAGATTGTAACTTCAAAGATTAAAAATAGAATTTCAGTATCATTTCTCATTAAATATTCTATGAATTTTTCAAATAATTTTCAAATATATTTAGATATTTGAGAATTGAAAAAATTCAATATGCAATAAATTTGCTAATTTATCTGAATTTTTTTTAAACCAAAAAATATCCAGATATATTTGTTTCCAAAAATTTCCTGATAGGTAAATATATTCAGATATATTTGAGAATCAAAAAAATTCAAATATATGTAAATATATTTGTATAAATTTACAAATTTATTCAGATTTTTTCTAAACCAAAAAATATCCAAATATATTTGCTCCCAAAAATTTCCTGATGTGATTTCAATCTCTATCAAATTGACTAGAACATTTGATCAATACTTCATAAAGAGTTCTATTAAAAGATATTTTATTTTTCTTATGAGAATATGAACCAATTAATATTGTCTATGTATGCTGCTACCAATACTTTAATTTACAAATCTCTATAAAAGAAGATATTATTATGTTTTTTTTTGATCAATTTCATTCTTGACCTTTGTGCAGGTCAAATACAAAGAATTGCTGTATCAAAGATTTTTGCTGATGTATAATATAAGATATAATAAGATGGTTGATTTTTACTGATTTTTAGTTAATCTATAATATAGGAATTATTATTTGGTACAGCAATTCTTTTATATTTGACTAGTGTTGTATGACTTTGTATTAATGTGTATAGTTATAACTATATTTTTCTATTTTGTAAAGTTTTTCTATTATATCAATAGAATCTTTTGATATTTACTTCATACTTTTCATTATAAATTTTATAAATTGATATATCAAATATTAATTCATGGATATTTAAAAAGTATGGTCAAAATACTTGAGAATAACTTTATTGCAAGTTATTAGATTAATTATTTGCTCTAGGTTATTATAAAAATATATTTTCCAAAATAATTATTGAATTAGAATTTTGAGTATATCAAATTAGACTTATTTAATAATAAATCTTTAATTTAGTATTGTACAATGTGTCTTTTGGAGATATTAATAAAGCCCTCATGAGCTGAGCCTTTTAAGGCTTGGCTCAAATTCAAAAATCTGAGCTTGGCTCAAACCAAACTTGAGTTCAAGCTTGAGACCAGAGCTTTTGAATGGTTTAGGAATATTTTTGTAGTAAATTACTTTTTGTTATACAAATTTTATCTGAAGTTTGTTTTATTCATGTGCTTGACAGCATTATCAATAATGGATGGTTAACAAGAAAATGGTAAACCAATTAGATATAATGGGTATATTGGTAATACCAACTCTGTTTCCAAGACAACCACTCCTTTTTGAAGATGTCATTATTGTCAATAAGCAAAGTTCCTAAAATTTTAAATATACTATTTTTGATATTGAGATTATGAAGCTTATAGAGAGGATATTCTCTTAAAGAGATATGAGAATGTTTAATGTTACTACATCTATAGTTCTGTTGTTAAAAAAAGAAAGTTAATAATTATTAATGTCACTTATTCAAACTATGTACTGTATATGCAATTGGTAAGTTACTTTTAGCACCTCTCTGTTTGAACATTATCAGGCGGTTCTTTACGTTTGTGATTTAATATTGTTTAGTAAAAGCACGAAAATTTTTTTTTTTTGATATATTATTATTAATTATGATAATCTCAGGATAAAAGAAAGATTGGGTATTTATACAAATATTTCAAATATTATAATTATTATATAGAACCGAGATTTTTCAAAAAGGAATTATTTATGTAACACTACTTTTGTCAATATGTAGCCATTCATCTATAGATTTTTTTTTTTCTAACCTATATTAGTTCACGGTAGAAACTTATCATATTATTGTTATCTCATTTATTCCATTATTTAATTTGTATCAATTATTTTTAATTGATAAAATAATTCACAAATGGAGACCACAACAATCTCAAGCACATCAGAAACAATTAATAAAGATATTACCAAAGATAATATCGGTGCTATTCCTGGTTTTATTATTGGCGGTGCAGCAGCATGTGCCGCTGTTACTTTCACGAATCCTTGGGAGGTTAGCATAAAATTTTTGATGATATATATTATTTATTCTTATTATTATTATTATTATTATTTACCTATAAGTGACGGATGAACTATTGAATATATATTTTTTACATTTTTTTAGGTTGTAAAAACTCGATTACAACTTCAAGGGGAATTAGCCCGTAGTAATTCCAATTATGTAAAACCATATAGAAACATTCTTCAGGCCTTCTATTTAATTGTAAAACGGGAAGGATTTCTTGGAATTCAGAAGGGTTTAGGTGTGTTAATAATTAATTATGATTACAACAACAACAGCAACAACAATAATAATTAAAAAAGTAAATGCTAATAGTTTTTATTTATTTATTGGAATACAAAGGCCCTGCATACGCATATCAATTGGTAATGAATGGTGCGCGTCTTGGATTTTATGATCCAATACGAAATTCATTAGTATCATTTTTTAATACATCAAACAAATCTCTACCAATTAGCATTATTTCCGGTGGTCTTTCTGGAGTTATTGGAGCGGCATTAGGTTCACCACTATTTTTGGTTAAAACAAGAATGCAGTCTCATTCTAATCATTTTGCAGTAGGACATCAACATGAATATAAAAATACTTTAAGTGCATTATTACAATTATGGAAATCGGGAGGGGTTAGAGAAATGTTTACAGGTGTTAATGCTTCAATGATCAGAACGGGAATTGGTTCTGCAACTCAATTATCCAGTTATTTTTATATAAAAAATTGGATAATTCAACGAACAGGAATGGGTGATAATGATATTATGTTACAATGCATGTCTAGTATGATGTCTGGGTTATGTGTTTGCATAACAATGAATCCATTTGATGTAATAAGTACACGCATTTATAATCAAAAGTTGGATAAGAAAGGTCATGGAAGGTAAGGGATTTCTTCAATTAATTTCTTTATTCGATTGTTTCTTTATTCAATTGTTCCTTATTCAGTTGTTCTTTAAGTTTTTTTTTTTTTTTTTAAAAAAAAAAAGAAAAATTGATTTATACAAACACGCATTAGTTAATTTAGAATGATACTAATGTTTTATCTTTGATTTCAAAAGCCTTTATAAAAGTACTTTTGATTGTTTTCTAAAAACAATTCAAACTGAAGGTATTAGAGGATTATATAAAGGATTTAATGCTCATTTTTTTAGAATTGGGTAAATTATTTTTCTGATATTTAGGAAGAAGAATTATAACAATTTAATATATTAAATATAACAATTTTACTAATAACTAATTATTAATAATTATTATTCCTCTTTTAGTCCTCATACAATATTGACTCTTGTCTTTTTGGAGCAATTCCGCGGATTGTATATAAAATATATTAAATAATCAATATAACTTTTGTGTATATATATATATTTTTTAGTATAGATATAAATTATATTATACATTTAATTTACTTTTTATATATTAAATAGACAAAATATACAAAAATAATAAAAAGCACTTAAATTATTATAATGAAAAAAATTATATATTCTACAATAAATATAAAAATTTTATACAATATTCATCTTAGAATTATAAAACAATAATTAAAGTAATAGACAATATAGTCAAAATTCTCTATTGAATGATTCAACACTTAGTGACCCACCCCTTCTCATAATGAGTAATAATCATTAAATTTAAAATAATAAAATATTTTATTCTTATAAAATTTAATGTTATGAACTTTCTGTTATTTTTTTTTTCATTCTAATATTACTAATTTAAGATTATTTATGATGACATAAAACACTTTTAAAATATTTCCCAAACCTACAAAATCTTGTTATTGATAAATTTATAGCATTATTTCAAGAAAAATCATATAAATAAAATTTAAAGATTTTTCAAAATTGTATTTATATTATTTATATTATTTTTAAAAATGGAACTCTTGATGATTTGATAAAAATCATGAAAATTATGTGGTTTTTTCATAAATTGAAAAAGAACAATTTCTATTTCTGGTTTTTATATGTACAGTTTATTTTAATTAGAATTATCACATGATTCTAAAAAGCTTTACACAAAAGGGTTAGGCACAATATTTTGTTAAAAAGTTCCAAATACAAGAATTATTCTGTTACCGAATTTTGCTAAATTAATTGATTGAATTAAATCAAATTAATTAAATTTATGAAGTTTTATTTTCCATTCAGAAATAAATAAATAAGTAAATCCCGAAAGAGAGGGAGAAAATATAAATAAATGAACATTATTATTATTATTATTATTATTATTATTATTCCATTTTATTATTTTATTTCATTTTACTGTTTTATTATTTTATTTTATTTTATTTTATTTTATTTTATTTTAAATTTTATTATTTTATTTTTATTTTATTTTACTATTTTATTATTTTATTTTAATTTATAATTCATTTAATTCATTTAATTCATTATGAATATCCAAGTCTGATATCTCCGGATTCACAAAAGAATCGCATAAAAAAGAAAAAAAAAACAAAAAAAAAAAAAAGAGTCACGAATATCCTAAGAATATATTAGCTCACGGAATTTATAAAAATAAATGGAGATCTAGTATAAGATGACATATATATAAATATTATGATAAATATTATGTAGATGTAAATGACATGTCAATTCTCCCACACCGCGGAAAATTCTTTCCCTAAAAAGTATAAATATAAACATGATAGTAGTAATTAATAAACGTGGGGTAATAATAATAATAAAAAAAAAGTTCTTTGTTCGAAAACAACGACAACAACAACGACTAATACTACGAATTATTATTGTTATTATAAAATTTTGAATTATTAATCATTTAAACTATTTCATTTATTACAAAAATATCATGTATGAAAATTACTAAAGAAGAAGATTTCTTATTCGAATATGTATAATTTCTTTCTTTTTTTAGAATGATACAAAGATATTTATCATTTCATTATTTTATTACTTTATTAAAAAAAGAAAATTCCAATAAACAACTCATAAATAATTCATAGACAATTCATTGATAACACATAAATAGCTCATAAATAGCTTATGAATAATTCATAAATAATTCATTGTTTGTAAATATTTATTTAAGGAAAGATCGATCGAAAAAGTTATTATTAAAAAGTTATAATTGGAAAGCTATGATTAAAAAAGTTTATGATTGGATAAGTTTATGCTAACGAAGAAAAAAAGAATTCTTCGATACAAAGCAGAATTTTAATAATACCACTCAATGAGTTTTTTTTTTACACTAAGCTAAATTTTCAATTTTCAATTCTCCTTTTACTGTTAATAAGAATGATTCTTAGATGGGTTAAATAAGAGACATCTGATTCAGAATGATTTAATTTGAGTTAATTTTTTGATTTTAATTAAGCTTAACAAAGTTAATACTATATACTGATAAGTATTGATAAATAAAAAAAATAATTCATGTGGTGTTTTAGATTTTTAGGTGTTTTAAGTGTTTTAGGTTAGAATAAATGCGACGCGGAAATTTCATTTTAATTTAATCAGCGGTTTGTTTATTTAAGTTTCGTAATTAACAATTAATATAACAATAATTAAATCGAATTAATTTAACAATAATTAAATATAATTAATTTAACACTTAATTATAATTAATATAATCAATATAACAATAATTAATATTTAAATAATTAAAGTTTATTATTGCTATTTAAAAAAAAAATTGGTTAGTAATCATAATTATAAATTTTATAATAAAATTTATATTTAATTTTCGACTTGATATTTTTTTTTTATGATGCAGTGTAATGGAGCTGGAGCGTGAACCAAATTAGGATCATGGTACGTTGTTCACTGACAGAATTTACAGAATTATTGCATTTATTGCCGATAAGGATAAGAATTACCCGGAGTAATTATGTCAGCATTATAAAAAGTTGAAGAAAAAATCTATTGTATCTTTTTACTAGCTAAAAAAGGTTTCCAAATATTTATGAAGAGTATTTACACAACATATGTATGTATTATTAACATAATTAACAGATGTAACATGTATTATTTAACATATAAATTATTAATTATTAATGATTAATTTATTAATTTAGATAATTTATTAACTATTTAGTTAAAAATTAATTTAAACATAATAATAATTTATCGAAAACATATTAATTTATTATTTACTTCGGGGGGGGGGGTTTAAACTTACCGCAGTTTTTCATACAAAAATTGGTAAATTCTTGTACTTATAATTTTTCCGTCCTTTAAAGAGAACATAATTACTAGAATAAAAAACAAATAACAATCAGCAGAAGACAGGCAATTGCATAATTATTAATTTTGAAAAAAGTAATAATTTTCTAATGTTTTCTAATATTTTCTAATGTATAATCTATAGAATATTCGGTGAATATTAATTTAACTCGCGTGCATAATTTTTTAAGTCAATAATTTCACATTCTTTTTGCCCAGTTAGAAAAAAAAAACTAATTAAAGTTGTATTAATTTTCTAAGAGAGAAAAATTAATAATTAAATTCAAATCTTTAAATTAAAGAAATTAAAGACTTTTTTTTCTGAAATTCTACAAAAAGAAAAACCTGACAAATTATGGAAGACGTAATGTAACAGATAATGCACAAGCAACGGATAATATGAAAGACTTGGTATAACAGATAAAGCACAAGCAATGGATAATATGAAAGAAATAATATAACAGATAACGCACGCACAAGCAACGGATAATATGAAAGAATCAATATAACAGATAACGCACGGATAAATATATCTTCGGTTAAAAACTCATTGACCAAAAATGATTTGGATAATAAGCAGACAATAAATAGAAAACAAATTTGTAATTGTTTATCCTAAATATTTCGTAATTTTGGGTGCTTCTTTTTTACACATACACACGAGAATTCAAACTTGACATTGGTCGAGTCTCAAACAAATTATAAATATTTATTATTAAATTATTTGTTAGATTATTTTATTATTATTAATTTTTATTAATATTATTACAGTATCATTATTATAATGAATTTATTATTTGTTACTATATTTATTTATTATTATTATTTTCTATTATAACAATCGGGTAATCCCGTTTGTTCATGTTATCACGCCAGCCTTTTCGCGGTGTGACCTCTTTCTAATTCTGTAATAAAATTTCTTATCTGTTTATCTATTCCAACCTTTCTATAAAGAATGTCAATATTATTATAAATTGATAAAAATAAAAAATATAACAAAATAAATAATATCATTATAAAAAAGAATTCATCATAAACATTTCTCTGTTTAATTTTATTTCATTCTAAATAAATTCAGTTATATTCAGTTATATTCAGTTATATTCAGTTACATACACTCAATTTACATTCAGTTCCCATCACCAACAGCAACCAATCTTCATCATCGACCATCGTCATCCACGATTATCCCCATCAACAACTTCAAATTAGATCAATTAGACCGATCACGTCTTGTTAAAATATTCGTTTTACTCGTGACATTTGAAAAGTTTTTTTTTACAATAAAAATAATGATATGATAACAAAGAAATAAATAATAAAAGAATAAAAAGAATAAGTAATAAGAAATAAATAATATAATAAAGAGAATTAAATAATATATATATATTTCTAATCTTTTGATATGTTGTATCACCAAATATTTTTGTTGTAAGCCTCAAATTTAATAATAATACCTTGGGTACATTGCATATCGGGAACATCGGGACAAATCTTTTATTTTGGTAACGTGTTCAGTAAAAAAAAAAAAAAAAAAAAGAAAATTTTGTATCTCAGATTTTAATTTTATTTTATATTTTATTTATTTATTACTTTATTGTGATATTTTTCACTTTATTGTGAACATTTATATTGTGATATATTAGTCAGTTTGCATAACTTGAATGATTGATTATTATTGATTTATTAATAATAGTAATTAATAATATAAATATATAAACGGTCATTTATTCTTAACTTACTGGGTTTTTATCTTCATTAATTCTTGTCATTTAACTTTCTAACCCAGAAATAAAATTTTTTTAAAAAAAAGAATTCATAAATATATGCTCATGTTGTATCACTGAGATTATTATTCCAAGTATTCAGATTAACTTTATCATCTAATTCTGTATGTATTATTTTTTTTGTGCCCATGTGTTGTTTCGCTAGTAGTTAAATTTAAAGGCATACTATTTATTAAGCGCATAAATGATGGATGGAATATCTTTATTGGAAGAAAATGGTCTTCAGTGAAATAAAAAAAAAAAAATTAGATATGAAATAACTTGTTTGTAATTGTTTGGTGTGGTTTCTTTATTTTTTATTATTTTTTTTATTATTTTATTATTTTATTGTATTACTTATTATTTTTGTCTTCTTTTTATTATTATTATTATTATTATTATTATCGTTTAATATTTTACTATTTTTTATTTTTATTTTATTAATAATAATAAAGCAAAGGAATTAAAAAAAAAAAGAACAAAGATCCAGATTCAACTTTATAAGAAAATCATTTCTCTAACCATCCTTCATATGCTTATTTAATTTATTCAATTTATTTCCTCTCTCAATATAATATTATAATAATATTGTTAAAAATAAATATTATAATTATTAAAAGTAATCTACCCGTGTTTTAATACATTTTTTATATTTTAATACATATTTTAATATATATATTTTAATATATTTTTCATTTTCATTTTTTTTATTTTAAAATAATTTTAATTAATTTATTTTTTTTTTAAATTTTTTGGTCATTTTTTTTTTGTTAGTTCTTTCTCTCTTCGGTAAGACAAAGATTTCCCAAAATTTTTTCTTTCTAAAAATTACGGAACCATTTTTAATTAACAAATATAACAATTTTGGATTTCATATACATATAACGGTTGATAATATCTAACACAAGACATCCGCATATATACCAACTCCCGAATGAACACAGACATATTCGTCGCCTTTTGCCTTTTCAGGATCTGATTGACTGGTTGGTATAAATACTTTGCGTTTAAAACTTTGTTTTTTTCTTTGAATCCGAGATTGTAGCCGGTTGTTATGTCGTCAATTATTACTTGGACTCAAGTATAAAAAAAAAAAAACTTCTAAGGTAGTATTTTATTCAACTTTAGACGTTGAAATGCACATGAGAAAACAATCCTTCTAGTTTCAATTCTTTTCTCTTAACTCTATATGAATGAGATTTCTTTTTGATCCTAGAACAAATTACTATTTTTTATTTTTAGTTCTATCTACCTATCTTTTAACCTAATGAATTACTAGAAATATAAACAACTCATTTTTTAGCTGTTGTTCTTTTGCCTATTTTTCTTTTTCACGAAAAATTGCCAACTACCTTGTTCATTTATTGTTCGTTTATTGTTCATTTATCGTTTACTTATTGTTTATTTCCTATTCACTTTATTATATATTTTTATTTTTTTTTTTTATTTTTCTCTTATTATACTTTATTTTTTTTTTGTGATTTTCAAAAACTTTTACCGATAATTTTTCTTGTTCTTAATAAAAACTCACAAACTTGCATCATTATTTTTTTTTTGTACCTTTTGTTTATAATTTGTAGTAATTATAATTCATTTTTTCTCTCTCATTATGACAACTCCTTTCAACTTGCCGTCCCTCGATTCCGCTTACAATTTTCCTGTTTTGCAACAACCACAACAGTTTCAAGTCGTTGAAGCAGCTATAGTATCAAACACTTTCGCTAATCCAAATTCTTTTATTAATCAACAGCAAAGTGTACAAGCGGAATTAGCTTATTTGTATAATAACAGTAATTGTAACACCAATAATTGTTCTTCAACTCAACAACAACAACAATCTCCTTCGATTCAACACGCGTTTTTATATAACCCTACTGCTTATCCTTCACCTCCTTTGGACGCTTCTTTCCCCTCCCCACCAAGGATGACTTCTAACGATTCCGGTGACCATCATAACAACACCGATAGTACCCAAAATTTTCATAACGGATCTATGATTACTGACCTTACTTCAACCCCTTCGTTCAATCCTAGCGACTTACGTGAACAAAAACCAACACCGCCGTCACACTCCATTTCTACTGTAACGGAAGGATATCAAGCCGCTCCACCGTTAGTATTTTCAATACCTTTTTTAGTTTCTACAAATATCGGCGTTTCTATTTATATTATAGTAAGAATATTAACGTAGATCTTTACCGGAATTATTCATGATTTTATCCTTATTTATCTATTAAAATAAAATATAATTACATGCGTATAATATCTATTTAAGAAGTTAGTCTCATATTTTTACTCCTATTTCTTGTATTAGATATCCAGCTTCTCAATATCCTCATCCTCATCCTCATCCTCCTCAACCTCAAACAGGAATGCAGATGGATCGTCGAACGAGTATAACTTTGGTTCCAATTCACCATCCAACAAAGATTGAACCAGGAACTTCAGAAGGATCAGAGTCATGGCGTATTTCAGCAGAGGCAACAACAAATACGCCTTATCCATTTGGTCATTATAAACCTCCAAAAAGTTATGATGACCGAGCATTAGATCCTAGTTTTTTCACAGATCCTTCTATGAAAATGCCTTCTGGTCCAAGTACTGCTCAACCACCAATGGGATATTATAGTACTGGACCACCGGTTAGTTATGATCGTAATGGAATACCACATCCAGTAAATTTTAGTAATCCTATGCAACCTACACCACAAGATTATTCAATGAACATGATGCAAAATCAAAATGGAAATGGTGTACGTAATGTTCCTCCTCAATATCATACAGCAAATTCAAATAGGCCGCCTCCGGTCCCCGCACCTCAAACAATGATGACGACCTTTAGTTCAAAGACAGTATCTTCTACCCCTAAAAGGTATAAGTGTAATATCTGTCAAAAGAGATTTACTCGACCAAGTTCACTACAAACTCATACTTACAGTCATACCGGTGAAAAACGTAAAATAAATTTATTATAAGTTTTTGAAATTATTAATATCTTTTATATTTTATTCACATTTATTAATTTCCGTGGAAAATTTTTTTTTTTAATTCTAGCATTTAAATGTCCAGTCGAAGGCTGTGGTCGTCATTTTTCTGTTGTGAGCAATCTTCGTCGGCATCAAAAGATTCACTCCAAATGAAGTGAAGTGATTTTTTTTTGAAATCTTTTTTTTTTAATACCCCTCCCACAAAAAAAACAAAGTATAACAGTGTCTTTAAAATACCTTTTTCGTTATTTTTCTTATAGACAATATAAAAAAACTTCTAAAATCTTTTATAATTTTTTCTTTTTGGCTTATGATTCGCGTATTTTCATTTGATTTTTTTTTTTTAAAAAAAAAAAACGCGCGTAAGTCAATAAAAATTGGTAACCCTTACTAGTATTTTCTTTTTCATAATTGTATATGTTGCATGTAAATTCGTTGAGCGAAATTTTCAATTAATTTATTAATTCTTTTTTTAATTTCTTTTTAAAATACATGTTTTTCGTCATCGAAATATAATTTACTTTCTATCTATATATATTTCTTATCGTATTCACCTGTTCTCTTTTAAAAAAAAAAATCCGTGCACACATAATTTACACATAATAATATGCTTATTTTCGTTTTATTCTCGCCTTTACTTTTCTGAAACGTTATTACCAAAAATTTACAAAATTCAAATCCGTGCACATGTAATTATTATATAATTATCTTCATAAATATCTCCTTAATTATGCTTCTTCTTCTTTTACATCTTCTTATGTATGATTAATATCATTATTTTTTTTTATCTTCCTGAATTCTGCTCTTTTTTTTTAATTTTCATAATTTTAAACCTTACGAAAAGTTTTCGTTATTTTTATTGCATTTTATTTCTATGATTGTTTTTTCTATATATACAATTAAAAAAAAATACAACACTTATTACAATTAAAAATTAATGTTTTTATATTTATATAAAAAAAAAAAATTAAAGATTACGATTTTTTCATTTTTAACAATTAATAATTAAAAAAAAAATTATGAATTTCTTTTTACTTAACGTTTTCAGTGCAAAAGAATCTTTTATACTCCTTATTAAATTTTAATTCATTATGTATAAACATGCCATTTTTCTTGATTTTATTTTTTAATTTTAATTTTTTTTTTAATTTGATTATTTAAATTAACTCCCTTTATTTTTAATGTTGAGTAAATTTATTCATCAAAGAAAATATTTGTAATATATTACATATTTATTTCTTACAATTTCTTTTCGATTCTTTTATTATTGCTATTATTTAGATTTTTTATTATTATAAATGATATATTGTATTGAAAAGGAATTAGAGAAATAAAAAATGTAGCCACTTTTTTTTTCTTTTTTCATTTATTTTTGTATCATATAATTTATTGATATATTTTTTTTTCTGATGTTAGCTGTTTCCTCAAATTTTGAAATTATTATTAAAAATTTTCATTAGAAATAATTTATCAGGTATAAGTTTAGAAAAACAATAACTAAATCAGACATGTGTCGGGTTGCTTATAATAAGAATTTGTATATAATGCATTAAGCCATTATCTATGATTGTGAAATTGTTGTATATGCATAAAATATTTATAGTGTTATCATAACACTGTTATGGCTGTAAATATTTACAATATTCCACTACTAGCTTGACTTGGCTCAAAGTAAAAGTTACAGGTGATAAGGTGTAAAAAGAAAATAAAAGGTAAAAGTTCAATAGATAAAAAATAGGTATATGAACATATTGAATCTGCAATTAGTTATTAAATTATGAGTTTATAAGGGAATAAATGAAAAGAAAACAATGTAAATTTTAACAAGAATATTTTGAATAAACTATTAATTCAAAGTTTCAGCTTATTTTTTATAAAGATAAAAACCAACTATTAGTAGCTAGTTATAACATAAATAGATTCAGATATAAAAATTTATAAATAATTTTCTATAAGACAACTTTTAAATACAATTACAACACATCTTCCAACTTTGCAAATATAAATATAGTAATGTTATAAAGGTACATTCATCTTATCTTAAGAAATTGCAAATAATCTAACCAAGAAGAACTTCAAAAGATACAATTACTTAGTTCTTTTATAAATCTTTTTCATGAATGAATTAAATACTTCTTTCTTCAAGAAAGTCTCATCCAATTGAGAAATCAATTCACTCAGATAAATAAATGACTCTTCCTCATACTTTTTATATTTCCCTTCAATATCAAGTTGCTTGTAAATTTCTTTGATTATAGAAACATTTTCCGGGTTTCTCTTTCCATAATTTTCCTAAATATGAAAAATTTGAAATTATTAAAATTATACTAATATGAAAAAAGAAATTTATAATAAAATAAATGAAAATGATTATTTACATCTAACAATTTTCTTTGCTCGGGAGTTGCTACTAATAATGCTTGGTTAATGCACCAGGAACACTTATTGTCTTCAATATCAGTTCCAATTTTTCCAATTACTTCTGGAAGACCAAAACAATCAAGATAGTCATCCTAAGAAAGGAAAACCAAATAATATTAAATATGAATAATAAATAGAAACACTTGAAATAAATAAAATGACATTACTTGAATTTGGAAATATTCCCCTAATGGCAACAAGATATCTAAGGCTTGCTTATATGTACTTGGTTCTTTTATTCCTGCCTGAAATTAAATATCAAAAATAATATTTTATTTTGATTAATAAATTTATGTATATAGCAAATTTTTTAAAACATGAATATTTAAATCTCACCATGTGCATTGCCAATGCTACAGGTAGATAAAATGAATAAAATGCTGTTTTATATTTGACAATGAATTTATATCTAATAAATTTAATATGAAAAACAAAAAATTAATAAATCTTTAAAGTTCTCAATTTAATTGAAATTATTGAAATTATTGAAAAATTTACTTTTCCATAGAGAATCTATTCAAATCTACATCATCTTCAGGAGCTGTAATCAAATCTAATGACTGACCAAATTCAGTCTCAAGAGTAATCTGGAAAAATACAAAATTAAAAATATTAAATAGTATGCATTTTTGATAAAATATATATATATATATATATAATGATTTTCTTTACCTCATGGAATAACTCTAACAAATCAACATAATAAGGATCTTGGCGAAAATATTTCTTTAAAAAGAAATAAAGTGCAGATTCCAATATTAAACAGTCATTAATAGCAATCATGTCTACTCCTTCCTAGATAAATTAATAAAATAGTATAATCAATACAATTAATATATAAACTAACTCAAATTAACCAGAATTATTTTTAGTGCATTAATTAGAGATGCTAAACAATAAAAATTTTAAATAATCTTATACAAACCATTTTATACCAACATGGATTTCCGCGACGAGTAGTAGAAGCATCCATAATATCATCAGCGATCAGGAGGAAAGCTTGTAGCTATAAATTACAATCAAAAAAAAAACTCTGGTCAAAAGTTATTTATTTATTAAAATAAATAATTATTATTTTCAGTAAATCTCATACCCATTCAACACACCAACCAAGAATTCTCGCCTTAAACAATTCCTCAGAGGAAACTTTTCCATCCTTTAAGATTTCAAGCGTATCAATCACGGACAGGCCACGATTCATTTTTCCTTTATGATAAAAATTATTAAATGAACCAATAATCTATATCATATAATACTATCCCATTTTTTCACCTACCACCAGGGACATTATGATAAATGCACTACAAATATAAATATATGCAATTTGAGCCCAATTTTCAAAAAAAAGAAAGCAAATTACATAAAACAAATTACTTTATACAAGAAATAATTTACCTTTTTAATCCATTCAACACTTTCATTTGGAAACGATCGAGATCGAACAGATGCCAAAAATTCTTCTGCAAGAGTTGGAAATACATCTTCAAATTCCCTTTTAGCTTTTGCTTTTGCTTCAGAAGAAGTCATTCTAAAAAAACCATTAATGATATTATTGTTAATCATTGGTCACATTCAAATGGATAATTCTAAAACTAGTATCTAAAAATTTTACATACATTGTTTTTTTTTTAAAAAAAAAAAATACCCGTCCATTTAAGTCCCAAATAAATTATATTTATTTTCCGGAAATTTTTTCGGTTAAAAAATTAGTTTGGTTCTAAAAAAGGTGATAAGAACAGCAATAATCCAATTTGGATTTTGATTAAATATTTTTCATATGTTTCATGCCACGTGTGCATGCATTCTACCATAAATAGTTCTTTATTATCTTAGATAAAAAAAAGATTTTAACGATTTAAGCACGTATCTACCGATTGAAGAAGCTACTAGACTGCTTGACTTCATATTATGTAATTAGTTTTTTTTAGGTAAATATGTTATACAAATAATTTATAAAAACCTTAAAACCTTTTGTTGGCATGTGACTTTTCCTCCTTAAAAAAGGGTAATTGAAAAAAGTGTAGACTGTCATTGCCTTCAGATTAAACGATTGCATTGTGTAATATTCATTTGTAATACATTTTGAATATTCTTTAATAAACGTTGCATCCCTATTGTACCCACTTTCTCCACTGTGTTAAAAAACCATATGGAATAATTCTAATATTGGAATGTAATGTCTTCTGTTATTTGTTCTGAAGAAACAAAATATATCTCGAATAGTTCAACAATTTCTTTGAGAAAGACTCGGTTGGATATAAAAAAAAAAAGTTCAACACTTTCTTTTAATTGCCGTAAGTAATGGGAAGGCAATAGAACTCGTTAAATTTTAGATTTATATTATATAGTTTTTGAAATCAAATTTACTCAATATCTCCTATTAATTGTAAATTAATCAATATAAATTACATTACAGTTTGTGATTATTTAGATTCATAATTATTGAAATCAATTAAGTCAAAATTCTCTATTCAATAATAAACTAATTAATATAAATTATATTATAGTGAATGAGTATTCAGATTCATAATTATTGAAATCAATTCAATATCATATAAATTATATTACAGCAAGTGAGTATTTAGATTCATAATTATTGAAACCAATTTTATTGAATTTCATATAACAATTCTCTAATCAATTATAAACTAATCATGATTATTGAAATCAAAGTTTCAATCCAATTCTATATCAAATAATAATTCCTTAATTAATTATCAATAATATTTTTTAGTGTTCTTGGAAAGTGTAGTGAATATCATTAAGATAATACTGGAAGAAACTGGTGCCATTCAAATGATTTCAGAATGAATTTGATAAATGAACAAGTAAGATAGAGAAATTGATGAATTTATTCAACAAATACAATTAAATGCAAATATATATCAAGAAATTATTGAGTGGATTCCATTTGTCAGACTTGAAAATGTCATATTCCTTACTAAAGGGGATTTGGCACAGCATACAAAGCAAAATGGCTTGATGGATCTATTTATTCTTGGAATTATAAAAGTAGAAATTGGAACAGGTCTGATGAAAAAGATATTTGCTTAAAAAGTCTTGATAATTCCACAAACAAAAATATTTTTTGCAAGAGGTAAATATCTCATGTTATTTTATTTTCATTATTTAAATAAATTATAATTATATTTTATAATAGCAAATATTTGGATTAAAAATCAACTTAGATTTGAGGTAAAAATTCAACAAAAAATGAATCTATAATGGTTATGAATTATTTAGAATGTGGTGGTCTTCAAAAACTGTTAAATAGCAAGTTTGGAGATTTAACTTGGAGAAAAAAATCTTATATTTTATCAATTATTGTAAATGGGCTTACAAATGTCCATGAAATCGGGCTTAATGCATAAAGACTTTCATTCTGATAATATATTTAATCAAAATATAGTTTTATGTAATATTACTGATTTTGGATTGTGTATAAACCAGTTACAGAAATGATCCAAAAAAAATTTTATGGGGGTAATACCATATATGGCACCTTAGAGGAGAATACATTCAAGTATCTGACATTTATTCTTTTGGTATGGTTATGTTAGAAGTTCAAATCTACATGCTGCCTAAATTCAAAAAAGGAAATATTAACAATAGGATTAGCAAAATTCTATTGTTAATATTTCCTTTTTTTAGGGTTCTAACTAGTTAACCCACCATATTAAAATATTCCACATGATGTAAATCTAGTAAAGGACATTTGAAAGGGGCTTAAATCTGTAAAATTCCTCAATTTCTGAAAGAAATAATGGAAAAATGCTGAAATTATGAACCTTTCAATCATCTAACTCATGATGGTTAAATGAGAAAGCAAGTTAAAGCAGCAATAAATTAAACAAGAGTTTTATAAAATATAAGCCAAATGAAATGTATCCTGAAGTAATATATACAAGTAAATTTATACCTAAATTTACAAAGCTTGAAGCTGATATATTTAGCAAGTGTAATTTGTAAAAAAAAATATCAATTAATCAAGATAATTTGATTTAAGATTCCTGATAATATAATTAGTGAATTATTTCTTTAATAATTAAATTGGTTTATTATATTAAACCATATTTTTTAATTTGTCTGGTCGAAGATGAAGAAAATAAATGGAATGTAAATTTAATTCACTAGGAATTCTTTGAATAATGGTTTTGATACAAATATGTTAATAATATTTTATTTGTTTGTTTATTTTATATTTTTATACTTCTTAATTTATTTGATCACTGAAATTATAGAGCATGAGTGAACCAGTATGTAATCATTTAAAATAAATCATTGTCTTAATATTCAAAATCTAAAATATTTATAATTGTTTAATAATTTGTGTTTATATTTAAAAGTTTCTAAATTGTGCAAAAGACAACTGGATCTATTAATATTTTTATGGAAATAATAATGTCTTCCATCCCAATAAAATGTTATAAATACACAATTAATTTTTGTGATAATGTGTATTCTACTTTATTTGAAGACATTTCAGTTTTTTCATTACAAGATTTAATTAAACTCTTTCAATAAATATAAAATAACTACAGTCGAAATAAGGAAATTTTGCTATATAAAAATTTGGCCAAAAAATTGGTCTAAATTCGGCTATCAACAAAATTCAAGATTTTAGTTGAACTTAAAAATCAGCTTAAATCCGGCTTTGGATTAAATTTTAATTAAAATAAAATTTGGCAAAAATTCTGAATTCCGAATTCCAAATTTTCACTAACAAAAATATAGAAATACAATGTTCAACAATTCTGCTGAAGTTTGTCCAAATTCCAGCAAATTAATTAGAGGTACTTTATATTTTTAACAAAATCAGAATTTATGTGTATCGGATTAAATTTTAAGAGCATTTATCGAGTACAAACAAAACACAAAGGTTACACGAGTTGTTTATAAATACTCCAATTTTTTGAATACCTTCAATAAATCAATTTTAACTATGAATAATACTGATCCCGCAGCAAATTTCAAAAGTTTACTTGAAAGAACTATCGCAGCGCGAGAAAAAAAAGAATTGGTAGTTTTAATAAATTTGATCAGAAAATTTTTCAGAAAAGAAAGCTAAATTTGAAAGTTAATTTTTTTTTTTTTATTTTATTTTGCAATATATATTTATTTAGGAAACAAAACCACTAGATGAATTATATTCTGTGTAAATATTAATATTAATTTAAAGTTTTGTAATGTTAAATTATTAATAAATTCATTTCAAACTTTGATATTGATATCTTGTATTACATGACATGATATATATTGTATTATAGAATTTTTGATAATCCTGCCAAAAGATTCAAAAAAAGTAATGAAAACAAAGATGAATATATATTAGAATTGGAAGATTCTGACACAGTAACCAAACTTGTCCAAGAATTTTTTAAGGCTTGTTTGGCAATTGGTAACACGGTATCTTACCTTTTTAATAATAATTTTATTAATTTTATTAATTTTTAATTTATTAATAATTTTAATATTATAATATTAAAAATTATTAATAATTTAATTTAATAAAATCAAAAATTAATAATAATAAAATTAATAATAATTATTTTTGTTTTAGGGAGAATTAGTCAATTACCTTACAGAAACACTTTTAATTACTTTAACATGGAGCAGAATATCACTTATACTTTCGATATTAGGTGGTCTTATAACAGATTCACCCATAACATTTGGAATTTTATTACAACTCGGAGGAGATATTAGTCATCCAGATTCAACTCTTCAACCCGTAATTCATATAACAATACCTCAAATATTTAAATACATAACTCCTCTTTTAGAGGTATCTTCATTAGAATTAAGGATAGGAATAATTTCATTTATGTTAATTATTCTTAAACAACATCCTCGAGCTATGACGGAAATTACTTCAGCTTCTTCCACTAATTCAAATTTGGCCTTGGATATTATAATCGCAATTTTAAAATATATTAATGAATTTAGTCAAAATTTTAATAAAAAAGAATTGGAATGTATAGAAGTTGGGCGACAAATGATTGATGCACTTTTAATTGGTAAAAATTGTGGAGGAATTGGATGTGTATCACATTATCAAATTATTGAGATGGTAAAAATTTAAAATATTATTATTATATATCATAAATTATAAATCAAATATTAAGTATATATATTATTATTATTTTTTTTTTGTTAGCTTCCAAAAATTTATGGAGCTCCCGTTCGAGGACATTTCATAAATGTCCATTGGTCTATGGAAAAATTTGTTAATGATTTGTTAAGACGTCGTAAACGTCTTGCATTTTTGATGATGTCACCTGGTATTTATTTTATTACATTTCGAATTTCTAACGCATATAAAATGAAAATTTAAGTGAACAATTATTTCTAATCTGTCATTATTATTTTAAAGATGCTTCTTGGTCATTAATATCACAATACAGGTCTAAACATTACAATTCGATTTAATTACCTTTGATTTCTCAAAACATTAAAATATATTTATATCAAAATTTATCGATTTACATTTGGTGGTAAATTTTAGTCGAAATCACGAATTCATTGATTTCGCTAATCTGGAAAATTATAAGTCATTTTCATGTGATTATGTATGTTGTTAATAATGTCTTTTTGGAATAATTAATTAATTTAGTTAATTAATTTATGTTATTATTTCTCTTTACTTCTCTTTATTTATTTATTTATCTTTTTTTAGGAACAATTTATTGATCAAGGTCACGTTGCAAGTTTTTATTCTCGATTTAATGATTTGTTATTCCAACGTGCCCCCTTTGAAGAAGTTAGAGCTTTAATAAAAATAATGAAATCACAACTTCATCCTCATTCTCATGGTTTGGAACCTTTACGTGAAGCTTTCTTCACAAAAGTGCATGACGTAATTGTTACAATGCAGCAACGATCAAACTTTAAGGATCCACGAGAAGGTAACATAATAATTAACAATAATAATAATTAATAATAATAATTAACAATAATAAAATTAATAAAATTTATTATTAGATGCAACTTTACCACTTTCACCAGAAAAAACAATAATACCTGAGAATTTAGATTTTTGGGAGTTCATTATCGAGCTTGGTGATCAATTATATGGCTTAGTGGCAAGAACACCAGAGTAAATCATCTATATAATTATTATTATTATTAATTTCATTATTTGTATCGGATTTCTTGCTTACTTGCAAATTTTATTTATTCTCTTTTATATTGAATTCATTCATTCATTCATTCATATATTCTGTAAAATTAATTTTAAATTAAAGTTATATGAAATATCAAGATGTATTAACAGAATTTTATCATATGGTATATCCTAAGCATGGAAATCATTTTAGTCGAAGTGTTCACAAAGATAATACGTTAACATGGTTATTGGTACAACTTTGCCGTATCCTTATATCTATTATTTTATTTATATCATATTATTTATTTATATTATATGTAAGATTTTATATATTATATATTTTGTTGTTTTATAAATTATTTTCCATGACTGAATGCTCCTTTTTAGAAATTGATAAGATTTTTCAAGTTCTTACCGAAGATTTAGATAATGACGAAAGACTTTTCAGTAGGCTTCTACAATTATACAATGATCAGCAAACCAAATCTAAAGATGCTTTTTATTTACGAGATTTATCGGTTCCATGTATTGTAAGTATTATAATTTATCAATAAAATAATTAATTATATATAAATACATAATAATTTATAATTTACACAATAATTTACCAATTAATAATAATTCTTTAGCTTATTTTGCAACACGGAAAATATCGTGACAGAAATAATCTTAAAGCGCGTCATCCTCATATCCTTGAAAAACCGTTAGCTTACTCGCATACTATCATTAATCCAGTACGAGCTTATTTTCAAGCTGTTTATAGAACTAATGTCACAAATTATAAACTTTTCCGTAATTTATCTATCGAAGAAACTATTAAAATTGCTTTACATAGTCAATGTGCAAAAAATCAAGTAGCTGATACAATATTAGTGCATTTATATCCGGCGGAATTAACGCAAGTAGGAAAATTAGGATTTCCTGAAGCGAAATTTAAGAAAGGTGGAAATGTTGGTTATAAACTTTTGGAATTTATTAATATCAGTCATAAACATAGGTGACTTTTATATATTTATCATATAAACTATATTCAAAATTATGTTTAAATTTAAATTATTATATTTAAATATATTTAAATTATATTTAAACTATATTTTAATTATATTTTGACTATATTTTAACTATATTTCAACTATATTTAATTTTTATATTAATAGACTCTCGGAACTTATATACAGAATGTCGCTATTTGAAACTGGACCTGCGAGTAGCTTAGACAAAAAGGATCCATGTATTTCACCATATATATTAGACGTCCTTTACAAAATAATTTATATTGCCCCTTGGTCGTAAGTAATAATAATTAATTCTCATTTTTATTTATTTATTGTTTCATATTCTTTAATTTTCACATTTAATATGTATATTCAATATTTATAGTCTTGAAGTAACATTCAAAGAAATATTAGATAAATTAAGACGTTTAGATAAACATAATAAACATACTAAAGGTCATCTCGAAGGAGGAGGCGGTGATGGTGGTGGTGGAAGTGGATCTACCTCAATTGATTCTGATTTACGTAACTTAACTGATCCTGAATTACGTTTGCAACATACTATTTTACAACAACTTAGTCATCGATTTCATAGATTATTAAAATATTCTGCAAAAGCACCTGATTTATTACATTATATTAAGTATTCTGTATCTTATTTGGAACATCGTCAAACTTATCGAGATGTTGAAACCTTTGCTATTCATATAATGGTAATTTTTTTTCATTTCAATATTTCAATTTTTATTATGGGTTTATGTAAATTTGCTGACTTCAGAAAAATATATATATATATAGATGATGCAGGTAGATGTAAAATTCATTAGAAGTATTGCAGATCCTGCTCGTGAGAAGCCAGTATGGTTTCCTGAATCCGAATTATTAGCGAGATATATGATTTTTACTCTTGCACGTTTGATAAAATTGAGGTTACTCTCTTTTACTTATTATTATTATTTATTATTTATTATTTATTATTTATTATTTATTGTTTATTATTTATTATTTATTATTTATTATTTATTATTTATTATTTATTATTTATTATTAGTTTTTGTTATTGTTGTACTTACTTATATTATCATTTAATTTACTTTACTTATATAATTTCTTTTATTTATATTATTTTATTTTATAATATAGGGGACTAAATGATGTTCATGATATGGAAAGTTTAATATTAAGTATTTATCCTGTTTCAATTCAATGGTCAACCACGACTCTTAGTTATTTCCCTGAACCATTACGAACTCATCTTATTACACAACAAACGGAAATTTTGAACGTTCCTCCGGTTCCTCCGTTTACTGATCTTGAAGTAAGTAAAGTAACAGTATTCGATTAATATAATTATTAACATATATAATTATTAATATATATAATTTATTAATATATATTAATATATATTATGCTTAATTATTTACATTTATAAAAGATGAATTCAGCTTTAGAAAAAGGAAATTTTTTCAGATTAGTTTCTGATACCACACTTGCCCTCGAAAATGAAGAAATATTGAAAGAACATTATTCTAAATTAGAGCATCAACCTATATTTTTATGCTCATTATGGAAAATTGGATGTAAAAGAAAAAGCTTAAATCCTGACATGATGAACAGTAAGTTTCAATTATTTAATTTTCATTTTAAACTATATTTAAACTATAATTATTAAACTATATATATGTTAACCTTTAATAATAATAATTCTTCTCTAGCACTTCGAAAAGTCTTATTACAATTTCCACCATCAAAAATGGCATCTTATACAATGACATTAATAGATTTTATTATAGAAAAGATTGAAACTGATTCTGATAGTTCACCAGTAGAAGTTTGTCATCAAATGCTTGATGAATTAATTTGGAGATATCAAATATTATCATTTGAACATGTTTTATTTGCATTGATTAAAGGACATTCAGAAAATAATTCTACAGCATTTAAAATACTTGAATATTTGTTAATCGAATCAAATCAATATTCCGATAGAGTTCAATATTTTATATCATTAGGGTTTTCACATAGATATTGGGTAGAAGATGATCATCATGATAAAATGATGAAATATCTTGAAAGATATCCCGAATATTTTCAATATGAAGCATATGCAATGGATGGATATGAAACAGTTACTAAACAATTAGAACCACCACTAATTACTCATATGCCAATTTATTATACCAATGCAATTAGAAAATCTTTACCTATTTTGGATATAGTTATTGGAAGATTAATTGAATTTGAGGAACAAGAATTATTAATTAAAATATTAGATGATTATAGACATATTTATAAATATCACCAAACACCACTTTGTTTCGTAAGAGATCTTTTTTGTTATTATTATTCTTCCCGTGTTTTACGAGAGCAAGCGATAGCTACAAGGTTAATAAAATTACTTGGTAAATATTATTATATTATTATATTATGATATTATGATATTATGATATTATTATTTATAATAATATTATATAATAATTAAAATATTTTAATTAATTAATTATTTTTATTATTTTTTTTTTTTTTTAGATTTTGATGAATATGAGTTGGAATCAGAATTGTTACAATATGGATCAAATAGTTTATTTCCCGTAGAAATTTTTGATGTCCCTTATTTTGAAAAGGTCTTTCATAAATTGGCAGATTGTAAATAATAATTTCTTTAATTATTTGAATGATCTTTAATGATAGTTGTAATATACAATAATAATTACGATTAATTTATATCTACTTATATCTTTTTTTAGCCGTTTCCCAAGAAAAATTTGCTCCAAAGAGAAATTCTAAATTACCTGAACGTCATTTTCGTGAAATTCCTAATCCAGTAGTATTGGCATTACATATTGCATGTTTAGAAATTTTGGCTATTCCTAATAAACCAGAAGATATAATTAAAGCAACATTGGATATTGTTGTTAGAGCAAATGGATCAAAGAAAATTTCTTTAAAACAATCAGCCATTCATACAATTGCATTATTATATTCTTTCTTACCAGTGGAAGAATTTGTTTATAAAATGTTTGATGAAATTGCTGTTTGTATTAGTACTGATCCTCATCTGGGAGAATTTTCTCAGGAATTTAATTTGGTAAATAATTTAAATAATTTAATTATTTTATTTTATTTATTATTTATTATTTATTATTTATTTATTTATTATTTAATTATTCATATATATTATTATCATATGTATTATTTATTATTAATATATATCCATATATTAACATATTATAGATCCAAAATAAACCAATACAACCATCAAAATTATCATATTTTGGTATTAATTCATATCAAACAATTAATGATCCACAATGGCCATTTTCAGCTCATTCCACACAACCATTTTCTACCATGTTTCCTTATATATTTAATGTTTATGCATCTAATCTTCATAATTTTACTTCAAATGTAGCAAATAGTTTCCTTACTTTTATGCACAGTTTATTACATTATTCAAATACTGAAGTTTTACAAGTTCTTTTCACTAAACTTACTACAATAAGAGAAAATGTTAAGACAGATATTCAATTACTTTATTTATGTGCTTTATTTGGACCTGTTATACATAGATTGGAAACTAATTCTGAGGTAATTTATTTATTCTATTTATATTTATTGTATTTATCATTTATTTTTATCAAATTAATCATATTTTACATTATGTAGTTTATATTATATATATTTCAATTATTAAATGATGTTACTCTAAATATGAGACTAGAAATCTGTGGAGATACTACTGTTGCATTGGAACAAGTATATGACTTTTTGTAAGCTTTTCTTTTTCTTTTTTTTTCAATGCTTCTTTTAATCCTTAACATAGTTAATTTTATTTTATTTTTAATTTTCTAATTTATTTATTTAGACATTATGTAAAGAGCTTTTTATTTAATGATCCGGTTGCATTTGCTAATGTTCAACAAATAATTCGAATGATGAAAATATCAGTTCAGAGTAGATTATGTGGATTTCATATTTAATATAAAAAAAAAAATGGAGCAATTTTATTGTATGCATAAATGTTGAAATAAGAAATAAATTTTAATTATTTATTATTGATATCATTATTTTTATTGTTATTTAAGAATAATGAAATAACTTTATACAATTATTCCGAATAATTTAAGCATCAATTTATAATATTTTTTTGATTTATTAATATTAAACTCGCATATTAAATTCACTAAATCAAATTATAAAAGAATCCTTTAACCTTTTTTAATATCTCTTTGCATTTTCAATATTTCTTTTAACCTTTTTTTGTTCAATATTTGTAATATTCCTAATTGTTCTAATATTCAATATTTCGAAAGCAGCAATTACATAAAATAAAATAAAAATTTACGAAAATCAGGTTTTTAAAAAAAACAAGATTAAAATTCTCCGTAAAAATAATAACCTTTACATTTGTTTAGAATTTGTAAATTGCCAATACGTGAATAATAACTCATTATAATTCATTTTTCCCTTCTTGGTAATCGCCTTCAAACAATCAACAACAAACAGCATTCAGGTTAATGGATGAATTGTTGGATTTACCAATTGATGACATTCAAGAAATATTAGATTCATTAAATGATATATTAATGCTACCATTGATAAAGATGATGATAATGATAAAGGAGGTGATGAAAATGACAACTTTCGAGATCACTTTTGTTGATGATAATAACGATGATTATGATTTTAAAAGTCTTATTACTTGCTGCAACCTTAGATGAATGTGATGGCTATAATAACAATGATTCAATAATTTAATTCCACAAAAATTATCTCTCATTTCAAAAGTTTACGATAACAATAGTAATCTTCTTTCCGTTGTACCAATACCCTTGGAATAGTTAATTTTAGGAGTTTAAAATGTTATATCCAAAGACACATGGTAGTTAGTTTGGTAATTGTTGCTTGTTAGAAGGCACCAGTCAGTTTTAAAACATGATTAGCTTGTTATTTTAGAGGCATGCAATATATTTTTTATTTCTTTCTATCCCTTATTCATTTTTTCTTATCTTATACAATTTCAATAATGAATTTTGAAAAGGAATACACATGTTATTTCAAAATCCCAAATTCCAAAATACTATTAAATTACTATAGTGTCAAATTCCAAATTCCAAATTATTTTATTATGCTGAAAATAATTTGGACAACATGAAATTCTTGAGAATATGTCTACTGAAGAAATTACTACTATTCTATAACAAAAACTCCAACGAGAGAACAAAAGAGTTGGTTTCAATACTACCAGAGCCCAAAGGATAGGGGAAAGATTACAAGCATACATGGAAGACCTCTAAAGAAATTCTACAATTATTTACTTTATTAGTTAGTTAAGTTTAGTATTGAACTTTGTATTTATGACAAAGATTCTTCCAAGAATTATCATATCAGTCATTATCTCTGGTTGTTATAAGAAATACAGGTAGAAATAAAATCTTCTCCCAATGAATAAAAACTTTAAGAAGACTTTTACATGTAATTTTATTCCAAAAGTTTATGAAAATACTTGGAAAACAAAGTTAATGAACTTTGCTTTATAATTAAGGAAGAAAGAATATCCAATTTAAAACTTCAAAAGTTTTATCAATTAGGTACATTGTAAGAGAAAAAAGGATGGAATAAAATTACAAGAACATAATACTTCTCCATTTCTAGATACAGAGAAGTTTGAAAATCTTTTTACTGTATCTATCAAATATACTCTAATAGAAAATACAAAATCTATTTGAAGCTTAAAACATTTCTTCCTTTGTACTTTTTAGAATATATAAGAATTATTTTAGAGTCTTGCTTAAAAAAGCAAGAGAAAAGATCTTCAAGAGTTTTATAAAGTCTTTTAGGAGCTTAACTGTTAAGTTTTCTATTATTTTTATTTATTTGTTAGAATTTTCTCTTCTCATGTTTATTTTTATTATTATTTAAGAATAAATCTATTTGTTTGTAACAACCATAATTAGAAATATTTAAAAAAATTAGATCATCAAGTTTTATGATTAATTTTAATTAGCATTGTTCACTTAATTATTACAACTTACAATATACAGGTCAATAGGACAGTTGATTTTATAATTGGGAATCCTGATTTATAATTAGGAATCCAATTGTGCCAACAATTTTTTTGTATTTAATCAGTAATGATCAATAGATTTATCTAAAATATCAAAAAATTTCAATTTTATATAACAAAATTGAATGGTTGTTACAAATAATATATATAACAGGTTGTTATAATTATATTATATATATTTCTTTAATTATAAGTACAAATTTCATACCTTTGATTCAGAAACTAAGCTGATAATACAATTTTAAAATTTATTTTACAACAAAAAAAAAATAATAATTTATTCTTGAACATTGGTATAATTTTATTGTCCAGAGTAAGGATGGTCAGCTCAATTAATATTAGGTTTGACTTAATTATTGTACCTTTGGTTAATTTATTTTCTCCTGAATAGCTAAATTCTGGCTTAAAGACTAAATTCTAGCTAAATTCTGGTACAATTCTGATTGACTGGTATAACTCTGATCACATAAAAAGATTATTATTATAATTGAATTGAATAATTATTTAAATTACCAATATTAATATTTTTAATAAATTATCTTTAAATACTAATAACTTTATGAAAATTGGTGTTACAAAAATAAACATATCACTGGTCAAAAATTGATAAAACATACACATATCGAGTACCCGATATGTGCATGGTACGTCCCTAATATCAGGCATATATTGGGTAACTGATAGGTGTAGAAAATATTTTTTTATACTTATCGAGTACCCAATATATATATATAATATTTTTACACCTATTGGTAGGGTTGTTAATAGAACATAATGGGTTGGGTTGGGTTCATATTATAGCGGAGCAATGGTCAACCCAACCCAACCCGGGTTAAATGTATCACTGGTACTC